GTGACTCTCGGATCTGGAACGGAGGAACCCACAGCAGGGTGCAGCAGAGCCCTCTCCCAAAGGACAGCGAGAACAGCTTTCTTGCCTCTGGCTACAGGGTCCAACCTGAAGAGTCCACTGCAAGGGAGGGGTGGGGCTTCAGAGAGGAGAGGCAGGGAAGTTTTGGGGAGGAGGAGCCCAGGGGGAGGGCCCCAGGGCTGGGACACTCTGAAAGACCCTTAACCTGGTCCTGGCCCAGCCTGCCTGCCTGAGCCTTCGTGGCTCTGCTCCACCTACCATCCCAGACGGCCCAGGCCCAGTAGCCCAACCTTTCCCTCTCACCCCTGGCTGTGCCATGGAAACCTAGACTTTGGAAGGATAATGGCTCCCAAGCACCGTTTTTGTCTCTGCTAAGCCTCGGAGAAGGTGAGCTCCTCCAGCCCACTCATTTGAATAATAAGCTCCCTGTACCGTTGTCAGGTAGCACGCCTCCCTCCCCTCTCCACAGGTTGGCTGCTCAGACCTGGGGTCAACTCCATCAGTCACCACACCACCCACACTCCCATTACCCCAAGAATGTGTGAGGGGTGGTAGACTTCAATTTCCAAAGGAATGCTGGGAAGAGTACTCAGACCCTGGTCCCATGGCCAGGGATTTCTATTGGCAACACTACATGCATCCTGCCTCCTCTGGAAGGTGGACACTGAGCCAAGCATTCCTTGCAGGACACCCAGTAGGAGTTGCTTGAGCCCTAGAGAGCCGTTTTACTCTTACTGCGTATGTGTACACTGGGCAGGGGGCAGAGAGCAGGGCAAGAAGCACAAGAAGTGGATTCCCCAAACCACACAACCAGCGGAGATGCAGAGCCAGTCTGTTTGGAACTACTGCCCCCACAACTAAGAGGCCCCACCAACGACTTAGGGAATTTGTTCCTTATCTGCTTGGAAAAATCTGGCCCCTGGCCCTGGGAGGCCCCCAACCAGCACAAGTCAGTGACAGCAGAGCCAGTGTTTACTTGGAACAATGCACCATGGGGAAATGAACGTTGAATCACAACCGGGCCAGCCCCCGCAGCCTGGTGGGAGCAATAGGACATGCACATACATGTAGGGAGACTGGCCGAAGGCCATCAGAGGCCCAGAGAAACAGGCGTGGGTAGGAGTGAGCAGAGCAGGGACACACACACACACACACACACTCACTTCTTACAGGAAGATCCAAGTCCTGGAAGGCTTTCTGGAAGAGACAGTATTTGAGCTGAGCCTTGAAAGATGGGTGAACATGTGTGCAGGGCAGGGAACACATTGCAAGGACAGATAGGGGCCGATTACAAAGGGCCCTGACTGTCTCCCTGAGATGGGACTTTATTCAGGCAGAACTGGGGAGCCTCTGAAAGTTAGAGAGCAAGAGAGTGACACACTCCAACAAAGCAGTGGGGAGATTAGGCTGGAGGCTTTGTTGAAAAGGGTTGATTTCCCTGGGGAACCCACTGCACAGTGGGGGTTGGGGGTGGGTCTACAAACCAAGAATAGAGGGAACTGCTCAACTCTTTGGTCCCAGCACCACTGCCACATCCGGTCACCTGTGGCCCTCTAGGAAGAGTGGTCAATTCCAGGTCATCCTGGGGTAGGTCACCAACTCCACCCTCTGACCTGGCCCGCAGCTGGTGCCCAGAGCACTTAATGGACAGCAGGGGGTGCTAATGAGCCAGGCAGTCCAGAGGACCTAGAGCTGGACTTCAGTGGCCCTCACAGAGGGACAAGAGAGCAGCTCTCAGAGGGAAGCAAGATCCCTAATTCCCTGGCAGTGCACTCTGCCTCTATGTGAAGTGGGTGGAAGGAGCTTTGGGCTCTTTTCCTCTGGCAGGAATGAAACATTTATTGCTTGTAATTAAGCTAACATGTATTTACCATTACCATATGCTGGACACTGAGGAGTTCATTCATCCTCACAATGACCCTATGTCATGAAGGAGGTATTATCATCCAACCCCAACCCTTTCAAAGATGAGTTTAGAGAGGCACAGAGAAGTTTAGTTTCTCGACTAAGATCACACAGCACACCATAGTTAAGTAGCACACTTACCAACATAACACAATACTGTCCCTGCAGGCAGGGCCCAGCTAGAGCAGAACATTCTGAGAGCTGTGAAAAGAAAGATTCCAGTCTACCACCATAAGCCATTGTGGGTATCAGTGTCTACCACAGTGTGGGGGCAAGGGGACAGCTGACAGGAACAGGGCTCAGCTTAGCTCATCCCCGCACCCAGGGCCTGGCCTCCTGGGCGGGGCTGAACCAGGCTGGACAAAGCCTCCCACCCCAGCCCCAGCGAGGAGTTGCTCCATCCAGAGCAGCAGCTCCTTGCTCTGAGGCTGCCTCTGGATGTGGGCTCTAAGGATCTGTGTGGTTCTGGTCCTGACTCAGCCCCCATGTCCTGTGTGACTTGGCCTTCCCACCACTCTGGGCTCCAGTTGACTTCTCTAAGAAGGGACAGGGGCCAGCTGACCTCTGAGGACCAAACAGTCAATCAGTTTGTTCTTTAATGAATGGGCCAGGGTGACGGCAATCAAGTATGAAGACATTTTGACTGTGCTGCTCTTGGGAAACCCCAGCTGGAATTTGGCAGAAATCTTGAGGGACCTACTGACTTCCTGAGGTCTCTGGGCCTCCCTGCCCCCATGTCCCGGCACGCATGAGCACACACGTGCACACATGCACACACTTCCCTCCCATTGCCAGATGAACCATTGAACAGAAGATGTTCCCGTCCAGGACCCTCCTGCCTCTAGACAAGAAAGTAACTGTCTGCTCAGTCTGAGGCCCCACTATGCCCCCCAATTCCTCCAACCTCACCCACCAAGAATGTTGGGGCCCTGGGAGCCATGATGGATGCTGACAACAGGGGTTGGTGTTCTTGGCCTGAGCTCCAGAACTTCACGTCATCTCCATTTGTAGGTAAGAGCATAGAAGGCCAGTTTTGTGTATCAAAAAAATGGAGAGCCAGGGGCAGTTTCCACAGGCCCCCTAGACTCTGCCTTGTGAGAGCCTCACCTTTCCTCACATTGGGGAGATGTGGGGCAGTAGGTGGAGTAGCTGTTCTCAAATATCTGTTCCTATGACATGTTAGGGATATGGGTAGGGTTGCCAGATTTAACACATAAAAACACAGGACACACAGTTAAATTTGAATTTCAGACAATCAACAAATTTTAGCATAAGTATGTCCCAAATATTACATGGGACAGATTCATACTAGAAAATTATTCATTGTTTATCTGAAATTCAAATTTAACTGGGCATCCTGTATTTTGTCTGGCAACCCTAGATCTGTGTCAGGTGGATTCCAGAGAGCCAGAGCAGAGAATGCCAGCCTCCTGCCCCTCCTCAGAGCACTGGTGCCTGCCTGGTCCCTTCACTTCCCATGTCTGCCCCTCAGGCTCCTCCATGCCCCTCTCAGCACCATCATTTCACTTCTTATATCTTCCTCCCCTAAGCTCACCCACCTTCCTCTCCCCTAGGGGCCACACCTCTGTAGGGCTCCAAGCCTGGGCAGAGTGGCAGGAGGTGTGAGAGAGACACCCCAGGCCTTGAGTGTTGCCACCATGGGGACAGGAGGGCCGTGGGAGAAGGCTCCAGCACTCTCTGGACTAGGTCCCCCCCATGGAGGGGTGGGCTGGGTCCAGAGCCAACGACAGGGGGAGGAGCGAAGAGGTGCCCCCACTTCTCTTCTCCAAGCTTAGATTCACCAGGAACTGCAACCAGAGATAGCATTCTCTATAGCCAGACCTCAATTCCACTTGGATCAGCCAACTGGAAGATTCTGTCCTTCGGGGCTGAAGAGGGCCAAGAGATAATGAGAAACAGAGACAGGGAGAGTGGGAGAGAGAAAGTCCAGGGAGAGATACACTGAGAGAGAGACCAGGAGAGTACGTGAGAAACAGACACGGAGACAGGGAGACACAGGACCAAACCAGAGACACGGGAAATGGAAAGAGAGAGAGGAAAACAGACTTCTACTGAGACAAACGGAGATTAACAAAGAGAATAGAGATGGGAAAACAGGCAAACACAGAAATGAAGAAAAGCTGCGCAGGGACACAGACGGAGAGAAACCGAAACAGGAGACAGACTAGGAGGGGCGCAGAGACACGGGAAGGTCACACACAGAGATGACACGGCTGGAAGCGATGACAAACAGATAAAGAGAAAGCGGTGTGAGAAAAAGAGGAGGACGGCCGTCTTTTCCCACTAAATGGGGCATCTTTTTCAGTGGCAAAATCACATTTGAGCTGCAGCCGGAGACGTCTACCTACCTAAGAACTGAGCCTTTCCGGAGCCCTCCCCTTCCCCCAGGCAGGCAGCAGCCCCTCCTTCCCGTCTCGCCCACTCCCCAAGGGCTTGAGCTCCAACCCTTCGACCCCGATACGGTCTCAACTGCGTTTGAGCGTCTGGCTCTCACCCCGCGCCTGTCATCCACCGAGACCGCCTCCCATGGGGCCCACCAGCCAGGCCCACTGGAAAGCAGCTCGGGGAGACCCCGCCCCAGGTCCGGGCTTCACGTCACCTAACACGGGGGAATCCCGCTTTGAGCGATGCTGCCGCCTACCGGCCGGACCGGTAAGCACTGCGCGCCTCGAAGGCTGGGCTCGGCCGCGAGGGTCGGAATCCGGCTCCTCCCAGGCGGCACCGCCCCCGCGGGGTCTTTTCAGGAATCCGGATGGGCCGGCTCGCCAGCGCCCCAGCCCGCCTGGCCGCCGGTCTACCCCAGCTGCTTACCCGGGGAGCAAGTCTCTGAACCCTGGGGCATTAATTTCCCCTGCAGTCACTGGAGGAAGTGTACCAACACCTCTTCCCGGGATTTCAAGGGAGTTGTAAAAATGTACCAGTGCTGTGTTCCTGAAATCGGCAAGGGTGTCCCTCCCTCCCTTTTGGGCCAAAATAAAAGGGGGGTGCCACCCCCCATACAGCCCCCTCAGTCCTCTCCAGTTCCCTTCCTCCGCTCTTCCTCTGTCCCCACGAAGTCCAGGTGGGAAGGGACTTCCAGTGGGCCGCCTTTTGCCTGCATCCCCTCCGCCAGCCGCGCCGACTCCCTCCCTTCAGCCTGGGACCACTTCGGGGTGGCGGAGTTGGTGGTTGGGAAGGAGTGGCTCAGCAGTCTTGAACTGACGTGACAATTTTTCCTAATCAGTTAATTTACCTCTCAGTTGCCAAAACCCAAGGCAGACCCCTTTCCCTCCCTTCCCCTCCTCCTTCCTCCCTTCCCCAAGCCCTGCCCTTCCCGGGTGCCTAAGCTCCGCCTCCACCCTGAGGCGGGCCCCATAGGTAGAGAGACTTGGGAGAGGTCGCGGCCCCGCCTCTCCCCTCCTCCCTGCACACGGAAGCTCTGTGGCCCCCATGCCAGGATGGACGACACCTGGGTTCCCGGGCCCCTACCCACCGTGCTGCTTGTTCTGCTGGCCGGCCTTCAACAGGTGAGCGTTTGGGAGGTAAAGCTGTAGAACTTTCTGAGCCCCTATCCTTGTGGGTCAGGGACCTGCTTCTGGAGCTCGGTCAGCACCTTCCATTGTCAGGATTTCCTCGTGACCACACACAATTAGCAACTTCGTTTGTCTTTTTGCCTGGGAGGCGAAGGTGGGGGTCCGGAGGCAACCGTGAAAAGGTCTGGTTTCCTTCACCTTGGGGAGATTCTGCTGTGGGACCTGGCCCCTGCCCACCACTGTCTGACACCTAGCGCCTCTCTGTGAATGGAGACTTTGACCCTTCTGTTAGCCTTGGTTCGCCCTTCCCGCTCCTTTCCACTACGTCTGTCTGAAAGCTGGCACTAGCAAGGACGGGAGGTCTGGACACCTGGCCAGCCTGGCTCCCTAGTGCTGTTCCTCCAGTGCTGGGTGACCTTGAGGAAGTCCTAGCCCTCTCTGGGACTGTTTGTCTGCTGTGCCCCAGGGGAAAGGTGGCTTCCTTATCCCCTTGTGGAGGAGTGGGTTTAAGATTCCGGCCTGTAGAGGAATTGGTCTGGCTGCCTGACGTGGGTTGACCTCTGAAATCCGTGGTTCTGAGTAGTGGGACAGGGTTTGAGCACTCACCCACTCTCCCTCCCGTTCTCCCACTTAACCTCTAAAATTGATGGGGCAGGTCTGCCAGTCCTGGGATGGGAGATTATCCTGGAAGCTAACATGGGTCTAGAACACCGATCTTTAGCTTTTGTTTAAGAATCTGTTAGGTGTTAATAAGCTTTGCAGAAAAATCAAGAGGAGAAGAGAAGTGCTTTGAGGGAGTAGATGTAATTTTAAATTGCGTACGTTCTGGTCCCACTCTCCCAGAACAGGGCACATGTCTGCCCCGGAAGCCCTGGTCCCCCTGTCTCAACTAGGCAGTAAGTTAGCGCCAGCACTACGCTGAGCATCCTCTTGTTAATCCCTCCCAACAACTCCAGGGTCAAGCGGATAATGCCCCCAATTCACATGTAAGCTGAGGTTCTCCAGAATCCCACTGATGCTTGATAAAACTCAGGCCCTGAGCCACCTCAGGCAAGACCACCCTCTGCTTAAAATGAGGGAAGAGAATCTGTGAGATCTGTCCCTCCCAAACAGGAACTCTGGATTAATTTATTAAACCTATTTATTATCTGTCCTTTTTGGTTGGGGGCCAGGAAGGAGTGGGGGAGGGAACACGGAGGGCCTGGACCCCTTGGTCTGTAGTCGCCTCTGTGTGCTGTGTGGCTCTCACCCTTTCTGGGCCAACCTGCAGAGGTTCATTCTTACTCCAGTCCCTACTGGCCAAGGCTTGTGAGAAGGTCTCAGCATGGGACTTAGCACAGAAAAGTGGAATCAGCCCAGCTGTCATTGGTAGTCTTAGCTTTAGTGTTATTAGCAGTTGAAATGTGATTGAATTTCAGGTAAAGTATAAAGATATGGTGGTCTTGCCAAAATTGGCGTCTTATTCTTCCACCATGGTTGTTTTTCCACCGGTGTGGGGTGGGGTGACAGATAAGCTTCCCTTTGGCTCCCACCCCTGCCCCAGTGTTCCTCTCCCACAGTCTGGGAGCAGCCAGGATGAAATGAAACAAGGTAATTCTTCATTCATCAGTATTGTCTCTGTTGGGTTTTCAACAGTGATGGGACAGACAAAAATCCATGCCCTCCTGGGGTTTACATTCTTTGGAGGAGACAATGAACCAGATAAAGGAAAATATATAGTCTGTTAGATGTTGATAAGAGCTTTGCAGAAAAATCAAGCACAGTGAGGGGAGGAAGAATGCTTTGGGGGAATAGATGTAATTTTAAATCGTGGTCAGAGAGGAGCCAGCCTTGCAGATACCTGGGGGAAGCATGTTCCAAGCAGGGCTGTTAATTGGGTTAAATTCTGCAGTGATATCCTGGATATATTAGTGTATCTTTGGGGATATACTAGCCACAAAGAACTAGTGCAGAAGGGGAAAGGAGGGAAGGAGGAGCTGATTCCAAAGCTTCACAGAGCAAGGAACCCTCCAGGCAGGATCTGACAGATGAATGGGGGGTTCAGCAGACCATGAAGGCATGGGCAGGAGGGCCTGCCCCTGCATGCAGGTGTAGAACAGACAGGTGTGTGCAAGGGGCGAGGGGATGGGTTGGGGGGCAGCTAAGGATGGTCGCTGGGCATCAACTATGGGGAACAACTGAAGGGGGCTTCCAGCAGGTTGCAGGGAATCAGATTTGCAGTATAGCAACTTGCCTTCCGTATCAGCAGTGATTTGGATGGGCTGGAGGGGAGTCCTGGCACCTTGGACCCCAGACTTGGTGGGCATAGAAAGGAGGTGGATTGGAAGGGTGGGCAGAAGGGATGAGCTAACAGACATGAGGGCAGTATGGGGGTGGCGAGGAGAGGAGGGTGAGCGGGGGGCACCAGATGCCAGCTGGGCCTCCAGCCATTGAGCTGAGGAACGTGCTGGAGTGAGGTGGGAGAACGGGCTTGGGGGAAGATGCTGACCCACTGCTGGCTGTCAAGGTCCTGGGTAGCATCTGGGTGGAGATGCCACCTCCAGATTCATGACTCCTAACCTCTGCTTTTTCCTCCCCAGGCTGCAGCCAAATGTGGTCTCTTCTTGTAAGTGTGAGATTTGGGCTATAGCTTTCAGTCTGGGGAGATCGCCCCCAAATCCTGCCTTGCTTGCTTCACAGGAGCGGGGGGCAGGAGAACATGTCATCCTCACCCGCTCCCCTTCCTGCCAGAAACCATCCCCCTACTCCCACCCCAGAGAAGGAGATCCAGCCCCTCCCCCCTCGCCCAGCCGAGCCTGGGGCACTTTCCCCATGTTACTGCAGCCTCGGGCCATCTTCCCTCTGAGGGTGCCCCCGGGGTGGGCGGGCAGGGAGCCTGTGCTGACCTTAACACAGAAATGCCCAAAGGCCTGAGCACAGTGAGGGGCCCAGGGAGGTAGCCTCTGGACAGAAAAGCATTTCTACCATGTCAGCATTGGCTGTGCCGGGAGCATTCCTCTTGCCCACCTCTTACTCCCTGGGCACCAGCAAGAGGCCCTCAAGAGAGTCCTTGGCACTCCCCTCTGCCCCCTCGCTGCATCTCCTTGGGGTGATGTAGCCACTGCAATACCCAATCCCCACACCTGCCCAATGAGGTTGACAGGACATTGATGACACCCATCTTAGAGGTGAGGAAAGTGAGGTCCAGTAAGGGGCACAACTTGCCACAAGGGCACAAGGCCAGTGGTGAGAGGATCCTGGACCCCAGGTCCTGAATCCCAGCCTCAGGGGGGGGTTTCTGGAAAGACGGCAGAAAAGGAGGGCACTGTGATGGCTTCTCATGTAGGAGTCACCTACATGTGATATGACTGAATGGCCCCGAGTCCCTGCTTCAGGTCCTCCCATTGAACCTGGGGGGTCCTACTTCCAGCCCACCCCACCGGGGCTGTGGCTCAGGCCCTGAGTGTATGGGCGGGTTTGGGGGAGGCTGGGGTCCTTCCGCCTCCCACGGTGGTGCCGACAACCTCTCTTTGCCTCCCAGCACCTGCCCCCAAGGATACAAATGCTGCGGCGAGAACTGCTGCCGGGACACGGAGCTCTACTCCAGCCCCTTGAGGTGAGCCCCACTGGCCCAGTGTTCCGAGGGGCCCGGGCCACAAGGACAGACAGGACTTCTTCCAGGGGGCCGGTGTAGGTCAGGGAGGGAGGGTGGGCGGTGGGGACGGCCTGGAGCCTCAGGGAGGTGTCGGTGGTTCCTCACCCCAGGATCTTCGTCATCATCTTCCTCACCGTCCTGCCCCTCTTGTGCATCTGCGGCCTGGCCAAGCGCTTCTGTCGCAACTGCAGACAGCAAGAGCAGGACTCCCCGGTGGATCCTGAGGGCCCCTTGGAACAGCCCTCCGTTGCCCCCCCAGAGAGGGTCAGACCATCCATCTCTGACCCCCCACCCCCCTACAGCGAGGTGGGTGTCTGTCCCAGTCCCTACTCTGCTTCTTGGCCAGCCGTACCTCCCTATTATCCAGAGTTTTAGAGCAACGCCTCGCAGTGGAGGCCCTCCTTACGCCAGGCCCCTGGACCCTAGGGAGGGCTCTGCAGCCACCATTGGGTCGTCCCTCTCCCTGGTAAAGATGTCATAGCGCCTGGCTGGTGCCAGGCCCTAGAAGACCCTGTATCCCTTTTTCCTGCAGGTTATTCTGAAGCCAGTCCTGGACCTGCCCCCTACGGAGCCGCCCCCTCCCTACAGCTTCAGGCCAGAGGAATATGCTGGGGTACGCAGGGGCATTGACAACCCAGCCTTCTGAGTCACGTGCTGCCCGGAATCCTGCCCTCGGCCACCTTCTCCCCAGTGCCTCCTGGATCAAGCCAGAGACTTGTGAGACTCCTGTAATGCCGCCCATCCTGCCACGTCTCGGGCCGTTCTTGGATTTAACTTATTGCTTCTCCTGCCCCTCTTCACCCCAGTTGCCTCCCTTGTCTTGAGGGCTGGGCAGTGACAGTGTCCACCCTCCCACCCCATCCCAAGTTAGAGGCTGCCAGGAGGAAAATCTTGACAGCTGATGGTGCCCAACGGTGGTATAGGGCTCCTCTGAGGACTGAAGAGAGCCCCATTTCTGGAGGTGTACAAATATTGACGGGACAGCCGGCTCTGAGAAGTTGTGGAGGGCACTTCTGCACCATGGGGGTTAGGAACTGTGTGAGCTCTGAGGCATTTCCAATGCTACCTGAATAGAGAACACCCCATTGTAGCCCCGCCCGGCTCATGTACCTACTAAATTTTAGCTGATTTTTGCTGAGAGTCTGCCTCTGGCTGTGGGGAGGTGAGCCCAGGCACTGCGGGAGTCTGGTGGGGGGAGGGGAGGGGTCACTGTGCCCAGCATCTCACCAGTGATGAGCCCTCCAGGGAGATCCCGGGAGGACGTCCGTCTGTGGGCCGCCTCCCAGCAGAGGATCTTTGCCGGTACTTTGACCTCTGGCTCCTTGAGGTCTCGGTGCCAGAGAGTCTGGACGGTGATGGGGAAGGGACCATTCTTTCCTTCCCCATCCCATTCTCCCTCTGGTTTCCTAGGAGACACAGTGCTCAGCTCCCTCACTTTCTCACCAGGTGGAGGGGGCAGAGCAGAGGGGAGTGGGGGGTCTGGCCACCTGTGGGGCATGGCCTTTGGAGACCCTGATCCACTCTACCTGGAATCTCCTGGGGGAGGGGGAGAGAGCAGATCCTTCTGCCTCTTCCAGCCCTGCGGTGATTCCTGTGGTTCAGTGGTTCTAAGGCTCTGCCATCTCAGCCGCATCTGTGAGGTTAACCCCAAGAGGAAGGAAGCACTCACCACTGTAGCATGGGAGAGCACCTGACGGCGCCTCGGTCCCCATGGGGGCCTACCGCCAAGTGGGGCGTGGGGAGGCTGGCATGGGGGCTGCAGAGTGAGAGAGACCCCTGCACCAGTGTTTCGGGCCTCAGGCAGGGCTGGGCTCCTCTGCCCTGACCCTGCCTTTGCACATCTGTTCTGCAGCCCATGAAAGCTGACCTTCCTCTGCAGCAACACCGCTGGCCGAGCTTGGGAGGAGTGGAGGTAGGACTGGCCATGGTTTGCTGGCGGGGATGCTCCTCCAGGACTCTCCCAGTAATACCCATCCTTGGGGCATCAGGGCCCAACCAGGTGGCAGGGGCAGGGAGATGGTACAGCCAGCCCCAAAATGCAAGGAACGCGTGTCTGACTGGAGGTTCCTGCTGGAGACAGAGCCCTAGAGGGAGAACAGTAGTCACTGGCAACATAACGCCAAAGTTGGCAGCAGGAAAAGAAGTCCAGCCAGGGGCAGTTTCCCTTCAATTTCCGGGGTTGACTTGGGGTGGGGGCAGAAGGTAAGTGGCTGCTTTGTTGTAAATGCGGCTAGCCCCCACCCCCACCCCCCGCTGGCAAAGGCCCACCTGGTGGGAGGATGCAGAACAGTGGGGCTTTGGGCTTGGAGGAGGGGGTCACTTCAGCCTGAATGTTGCCTTTCCTCGCAGATGACATGAGGACTTTAAATCTTCCCCAGCAGTAGCAGAGTTGCCTGGAGGAAAGTGGTTGTACTGAAATCCAGTGTTGCTGGGACCTGGTGGCAGAAATGGCCAGCTACGCGGCTCTCTTGTCAGTGGGAATGGAAAATAGTGCGACCTTCCTGGAAGGCAATCTAGCACTATCTGTTCATGCCACAGATACGTAAAAAGCTCCTACTGTGTGTTGGGCACTACGCCTGGCACTGTATATCCATTAAAATGTTCAGTGCACATGGCCCAGCAGTTGCACTTCTAGGAATGATCCGTCAGAAAAACTCATACAGAAGAGTTCAAAGATAGGTGCATCACAGCAGTGTAGCTGGGGAAACGGAAAACACCCTCTATGGCAATTGATAGGAGCCCCCTAAATATACCGGGTCCACCCATACTGTGAATGCTATGCAGCCTTAAAAAAGGATGGTGTGCATGTGAAACACTGATCTGGCAGGATGCCATCATTTATGTTATGGAGAAAAGGCAAGTTGCAAAATAATAGTCTCTGGTTTAATTTGTAAATACATATTCTTATCATACATATTATTTATATATTTTTTTTCCTTTGCAAATGTTCAGAAAAGATTTAGGACAAACCACACTCGCTGCACTTTGAACAACAATTGACGCTGTGGGATGGAGAAGGCCAAGGGAAGTTTTCACCTTGTGTGCTTTGTCATTGTTTGAAGTTTTTATAATGAGCAAGCATTCCTTTCACAGATTTAGAAAACGATTTCTTTAATGGAAAATACAGGCAGCTTTAGAAGTTAATGAAGATTCACCTTGTGAACTTTGATCGACAGCAATTCATGTATTATCAGTCCTGCTATGCGGAAGAGGCTAAAAGGACTCGGGCATGTGACACACACATGGCATGTATGGGACCTGGGAATAGGTAAACAGAGGACATGGGAAAGCGTGGACGTCTCCAGGCATGTGAGGACATGTGATGCCCATATATTAGACCTATGCAGAACTGTGACCAGCACTCAGGATGGATCAGATGTCTAGCTGGTTGGCTGGGTGGATGAGCAATTTCACAGGGACAGGATTCACCCCTTGTGCTTGGCTTAGTGGCTCAAACCCAATGAATGAAAATGAAAGATGGAATCGCTGGATGGATGGAATGGATGCATTGATGGATGGATGGATGGATGGATGGATGGATGGATGAACAGATGGATGGATGGACGGACGGACGTATGTGAAGATTTGCCATCAGACTTTTGTAAAGATACCTGCAGCCTCGTTAACACCAAGAAGGTTCTCCTTGTGATTGTGGACTTGAATTTCTGCCTGCAGGGTACTCCCCTGGGGACTGGGGAGTCAGGAGAAGCTGTAGGGCAGAACATGCTAGGGTGGGGCATGGGGGACCTTATGCTCTGGGGAAGAGATGCCACTGTGGAAGTGGGAAGGAGGGACGACACCAAGGAGCATCTAACCCACCCGGGGGACTGATACTCGGAGCTCCAGCTTCCTGACATTTAGTTTTTGCATCTCACATCTCCAGTTTGTAGTGAAGAGGTTCCCCCTTCCAGCTCCGGTAGGATTTAGCTCTCTGGCTCCAAATTGGAAGAGGCTAAGGAGGTAAGAGACTCCATAGGACCTCCTTGACTCCAGCAGCCTTCCCACCCCCCACCTCAGCCACACACTCCAGTGGACATACCTGATCTTATCAGCCCTGGAAACCTCAAACCTCCCACTTACTGAGCATCACCTCCTGTTCTTCCAGCTCAGGCACTGTATTAGTCCCATGTCAACAATTCTCTGAATCCACTGAGACCTCCAGGTCATTGGCCTTAGGCCCTTTGCAGTGCCGTCAGCCATCCGCACTACCCTCCTTATCCAGCTTGGAGTCCTTGACCCAACCTGATCATCACTGCCCTGCATCTAACTCCTTTGCCCCTTCCTCCATCTGCCATGCTCATCTGACAAAACCCCAAACTATGGCTGGATCCATCTTTTGCTCAAGAACCAGCATGTCTGTTTGCAACTGGACTACTTCAAAATCAAAACTAGATCTCAAGCAGATCCTCAAATCCTCCAACTGCCTTAGAAGCTTCACATCCTCAGACTTGAGATGACTACTTTCTATCTCCTTCTCTCTTTGAGTCTCCCTGGCTCCCAACCTCAGTTTCAGCTGGAGATGGCACCACATACTTAAGACAAAAATGGATGCAACACACGAGAACCGCCTAAAACACCCTTTGCTTCTGGTTGCAGTGGAAGCTGCGTTCCACTCCCCAACTGGGCTCCATCGCCCCAGATCCTCCCAGGACCTTGCTGCTGCAGTTTCTATACATCCGCTACTCCTCCTTCCTAGTGGACCTTTGTTATTAGCATCTAGGTATAAATATGCCTTTTCGTCCATCTTAGAGAAACTTCCCTTTATACTCTCATTCCCTCTTGTATTTCCCGTTCCACTTAGTCCCTCCCATTCTCATTCCACCCTGCTCCAATCAGCCCTTTGTCCCCATCATTACATGAGATGGCTCTTGTCCACATCACCAGTGATCTACATCTTGCCAAAGCCAAAGGTCAATTCTCAAGCCTCATTTACTCAGTCTTTGTGTCATTTGACCTCAGAGTGGTCACTTGGCCACTTCCTCCTTGAAAAACTTTGTTTTCTAGACTTCTCTGATGCCACCTTTCCTGCTTCTCCTAGTCATTGGCTGTTCCTTCTCTGGCCCCTTCCCTTTCACCTCCTGCTCCACCATCTCTAAATTATAGTTAACCCCAAAGTTCCCTCCTCAGCTCTCTTGTCTTTATCTTCCTTCACTCCCATAGTGGGTCTCAGCTGCTTGGAACAATAGTGTGATGAATCTCAAATCTTTTCTTTGGTTGGGACTTCTCCCTTGAACTCCAGACTCATATTTAACACATTTAACTACCTAAAACTTCTTAGATGCCTAAAGAACGTTTGGAGGACCACTTGGATGCATGATAAACATTTCACAGCCAAAACTAGGCTCTAATTTACCTCCATCCCACCCTAAATCCAGTCCTTCCAAGTCCATCTTAGAGAAACCTCCCTTTATACTCTCATCATAAATAGATGGCACCAGCTGTTTGTGCCAGAAAACTGAGTTACTCTTATTTCTCTTTCCGTCACTCTCTCATCCTGCTTCCAAAATAGACCAATATCCACTTTTTACCATATCGCTGTTCCAGCCCTGGACCAAGCCATGGTCAAGTTAGCCTAGGCTATTCTAATGACATCTGAACTGTTGCTTGCCTCCGTTCTTTTATTTATTTATTTATTTTATTTTGGTATCATTAATCTACAATTACAGAAAGAACATTATGTTTACTAGATTCCCCCCTTCACCAAGTCCCCCCCACATACCCCTTCACAGTCACTGTCCATCTGCGTAGTAAGATACTGTAAAATCACTACTTGTCCTCTCTGTGTTGCACAGCCCTCCCTGTGCCCCCCGGCACTATACATGCTAATCGTAAGTCTCTCTTTTTCCCCACCCTTATCCCTCCCTTCCCACCCATCGTCCCCAGTCCCTTTCCCTTTGGTAACTATTAGTCCATTCTTGGGTTCTGTGATCCTGCTGCTGTTTTGTTCCTTCAGTTTTCTTTTGTTCTTATACTCCACATATGAGTGAAATCATTTGGTACTTGCCTTCTCCACTTGGCTTATTTCACTGAGCATAATACCCTCTAGCTCCATCCATGTTGTTGTGAATGGTAGGATGTTTTTTTCTTATGGCAGCATAATATTCCATTGTGTATATGTACCACATCTTTATCC